ACCCTATTGTTTCACTGCTCTCAGGGGATAGAGTCAACCAGGCCTCATGCTGGAAAGGAACAACCCATAACACCATCTTCAGCTTTCTTCCTGCCAGTGATGCTTTGCCAGGAGTTGCCTGGAAGCAGCCCAGGCACTTCACAGGGTGTGTTTCTGATGGCAAACCAACATAAATTAGCAACAACTCTACTGACGCCGCTGTAGTTACACTGGTGAGACGCGGCCAGCTAACAGAGCAGCTCATTTGTCTTCCCCTAACCCTGGTACTTCAGACTCAGACACCCACTGAGACAGTGTTCCTTCCCGACACAGGGCAACCGAGCTTGGCTTGACTTTGTGGTAATTTTGGGAAGAGAAAGTGTTCTTGTACAAAATACTTTGTCTTGTTGTCCTTAGAGCACTGCTTGCCTCTGGTACAAGAAGGGTACATGGTGTTTCTAAAATATTTATGCTCTCAACACCCTTGTTGGTTGTTAGAAAAAGCTACCAGGTGACAGCCACAGAGGCATGCTTGCATGGCTACCGTATGTTGCTGTCCCTCTTGCTCTCTCCTTGCTCAAACAAAAACCTGCATGACATACTGGCCAAGTCTCTCCGAGAATTTTATTTTCACTTGGATTCTTGTATAATAAGTGCGTATGATTTATTGTGTTCCATGCCTATGACTAAAGTTACTTGGCAGTTTTCCTCTGCTAGTGCGTTGTTGTGAGGACTGATTTCTCTGGATGAGCTATTTGTTTACGTGCTTTGAAAAATAGGTCATAATTTTTTTTCTGCAGTAGCAGAAGGATTTATCCCATTCTGCTATCAGGGAAATTGAAAGCTTTACCTTCCAGTGCCTTTTGGTAAGCATAGAAAATTAGGACATTTACAGATAAACAAAAGGTGCGGTGCATGCGCATGACTCATGTTCCAGCTTCCACTTACAAAGTTAAACATACACTGTGTGCTAAGAAGACATCTGGGAATGACTCTATGCTTCCCTGTGGCTTTTGTCCCCACCCCCAAATTCCTGCTAAGCTAAGTGGGAGTTCTGCAATTGATTTTCATAGAAATTTGATTGGCATGAATAGTTATCTTGTCAACAGCATGTTCGTGCTTGAAGAATCTACTGCTTAACAGTCAGTTATTTCATGTAAGGGCAGTTTTTTTTTCTGACGGTCTTACTGTGCTGGCAAGTTTGTATGTCAGTATTGTGCACTTCAGTGCCACTTACAAATCACAAAGGGTGCTTCAGCTTACAGGCTGGCATAAATGGAAGTGGGGAAGTACATGATAGCTAGGAAGGTAGGATGGAATAGCACTGAGGAATGATTCTGGGGATCAGAAGTCAGTTGACCATAGTGTAAAATTATTATAATCCTGCAAATTCAAAGCTTCTGATAGTACTGGAATATATTTGTTTCTTACTCAAAAGTATCCTTTTTGCAATTCCTCTTTCTCGTTTTGCAACTTGACAGCTCTCTCTACAGAGCCTTATTGCCATGCATGAGCAGCAGCTTTACCTTCGATGGAATGACAATATTTACCCAAGAAAGGAATTTTTTAAGGATATGACTAAACAAAAATATAAAATGAATGTGTTTTTCATTTGCTTCTTAGCAGTCAAAATTGACTTCTAATGTCAGTGACATGAAAAAAGAAATTGTTGCTGTCCCTTAATAGCTGTCTCCAGGAAACAGCATGTAACATGGAGGAAATATACCCGTTTTTGCACATGCTATGCAATGAACTCAGTTCGTACATTTTAAATAGCCTTTTGAGATGCCCTGAAGCAACATGGGTTAGTTCCTAGACATCCTGGAATGTCCGTGAGTTCACACCTTCCAAGAGATACAAAGATGTTGCTGTGCCTTCCAGCTGAAGGCAAATGAGTAACTCTGCTTTTCTTTTATAGTACATGTGAGATATTCTGGTAGTTCTGCTGGCAAGAAACTGGGAAATGAAATAATTGCATTGTTTCTATAGAGCAAATATTCCAGGTTTGTAATTTTTAAAATGTTAATGCTGCAAATCAAAATATTTAAAAAAATCAGCAGTGTAGCTACGCATGGCAGAAAATTATATTTGATGGTTTCTTTTAGTTGCCGCTTTCTTTTTATCTAGAGTTTCACATTTCTTAGCTTTACAAGAAAAGATTGCTAGAAATCTTGGTTTCATTGTTTGTTCTTAAAATGAAAGCTGATATTTTTACATAATCATATGACTTTGGGAGCCAGAGTTTTAAGAAAGAGACAAAGAAACTTCTGGTAAAATTCATGCCAACTAGCAAAACAATGTAGGAAGCCTCCAAATCTTCCCATACTGTTTCTGAGATACTGATGATACTATTATGATATAGTGGCATGTAGTATGCTACTGTGTAGTAGTATTGTATATATTGTATTTTACTGGGATTTCAATGGCATCATTATTTAGGACTTAAATAGACTTTACATTTCATTTCAATACCAATTAGCAGGTTCTGGTTTTAAATATGATTGCAGGATCCCATCATTTGCTGATTGGAATGAAAGGAGAGGAACACCTGAGACACTCTTACTATAGCCCGATCTGTACCAACTCATATTTTATGAGTTATGAAAAATTTGACAGAAGACTTTCTCACTTCAGATGAAAATGATGTGTGTTTCCAGTAGCATTATAACACATTTGCATTGAAGGCATGAACTCAGGCAGGGGAAAGTTGGTAGAGCAGACCTGAGGCAGGTGAGGCCTCTGCAGAGCTGAAGCTCTGCAGCCTCTGTTTGCCTGGTGGGACACCAAGCACAAACATCTGTTCTTGGAAACAGGGAGTGTAGAGCAATTGTTCTGTGCAGAATACTCAGGGGAACTGGGCTTCCAATAGTGGATGATGGTTTTTATGTGGTTCTGCTCTGTGTTTCAGCCCAGTGTGCACTGACTGCCTTTGCCCTGCAGCTTCTGAACCAAGTTTCTGTGCTGTGCCTGGTCTTTCCCTTACTGCATTTTTTAAAAATGAAATTAAACACAAGGCCCTATTCAGCCGAAAACAGGCCCCGCAGCTGTTACTGCCCGAGCTCTGTGAGGCTCTTGTGCTCTGGAGATATAAATGCAATTCTTAAAGGAAAAATACCATCTTTCCAGGGGCTATGAGTGAAGTTATTAAACGTTTTCTGACACGGTCTCTTCAAAGAGCATGATCCTGCCTTCATCCTGGAGAGAACACTCATTGAACATACTATAATGGATATGCGAGAATGATGGTCCCATGCAGCAGAGATGTAATAGCAGAGAAAGCCATGGCTGTCCAGAGTGCCTCTTTCCCCTGGGACTAATAAGGCAACAGAGAGTACTGGCTGAAAGTGTTTCCTCTTGGAAAAGCCTGTGTAAGAGAAATGCTCACAGTTCTATTCCATGCTCTGGTATTTGAACCAGCCCTTCTTGACCTGTTGTATGGAGAAAAATGTGGATGGAATAAATGATTTATAAGGTTTCATAGCAGGAATCTGACAAGAAGATGAGAACTGGAGTTCTCCTGCTCTTCTTTCTTCTAACTTACGAGAGCAGCTTGGGGAGAAAGAAGAGGAATTTGTAATTTGCCTCCAACTGAACCAACACAGACTTTGTGCATTTGCAATTTTACCCCCTTTTAAGAGTTGTTTTGCCAATCTGTGGGACATAGTTGGAGGCAGGAGCTAACAGTGGAGTTAAATCATAACATTCATAAAACAGAATCAGCAAAAGATTAAGATGAGTGTCACTCAGAGGATCCTGAAGGGAAGGGGATTTGCCTTTGTCTTTCTGTTTGGTAGGCAGCTCAGCCCCAGAGCTCTGATCCAGATCACTGCCCCATCTGTGGCTGCCTGCAATAAGTTTCAGATGGTTCCCACTGGAAGCAGCTTGCAGGAGCAAGCCTAGACAAAATGCACATTGGATTTTAGAATAGATACCTTTAGCATCCATGGCACAGTAATGAAGGAAGTAACACAGGTTAAGGCTGTTCAGGAATAAAGAATGAAACTTTTGTTGAAATAATGTCAGTTACAAAGGTTAAACCCATAAAGCATACGTGAACCATGGGAGTAAATCTGCGGTTGAAGCAAATAGGTTATTTGTTCTAGATATCTTTACTCATTTATAATATATGGCAGCTTGGAGCTTTTCAATTTCTTTGGTAACACTGATTTTTAAGGATTTGGATCAGGTGAGAATGCAAATATTTAGTCATTGTAGGAAAATGTTACTGAATTTTTGTTTAAGTTCTGTTTTTGCTTATTTGTTGTGCAAGTGTTTTGAGCACTGATATCAGAACTTGCTATGGCAAATGAGCAAGTAAAAACGCATTTATGTGACTGCTCTCCCCTTTTCATCCAGGTTGTTTCCTGCAGTGAGGCTTATGTGTAACTTCTTAAAACAATGTTTTATTTTATATCAGTTACTATGACACATATTACCGATTGCATAACAGTGTTTAATCTCATGTGCATTTATTTACCTGTGTTTTCTTGTTTATTTTTCTTTCCCCTACAGTGACCTCCCAGGAGATTTTTATCAACTTGACTTTTTTTTTGCATAGAAAATAGGGACACACAAGTCAATGTGAATTATGTTTGGCTCTTTTACTTCCTTAATTGCCACAAAACAGGGGCCTAAACGTTCAGCCAATTATTCCACAATTATAGCTGTTTAAATATGTTTTAATTTGCATTTACTGTGCTTTCTTACCACAGGTTGTTTGTGAGACTTTAAGTTGCTGATTTCTGCAACCTTGACTCTATGAAAAAATGTCAGCATGAGTTCAGCATGAAGCATACGGGTAGTCCCTGTGGGATATGAAGTTATTCCGGAGCAAGAGTGCTGAGCCTATGTGAAGTATGCCTTGCCCTCCAGAGCAGGCATTAGATCCTCGTCTTATGCTCACCAGCAAAATGCTGAGGGTGTTCATGAGTGCTCTTAGCATCCATTTCTCTCTGCTTAGTTCAACTTGGTGACTGATTCAGTTGAAGCAACAGTCCAGTGAAACTGTGGTTGTAGCTTACCTGTACAGCCCAGTGCAGAGCGGTTTTGAAGTCTTTATCCACTAAAGTCAGGTCTGCTCCCTTGTGCAGCAGGGTCTGTGCATGCTGTGGCCTGTTGTGGAAAGCTGCCCAGTGGAGTGAAGTCATTCCCTGAAAGCCACAAGCGCAGAGAGTAAATAAAGGTCATGCACAATAATGGCCTTTGCACCTCCTGTAGCTGCAGAAAAGCTAGACTGTTCTGAAACCACTGGGGATGGATTGACTCTTTTCTCTTTGCCTTGAAGTGAAATAATTATTTGCAACTTGCTAACTAGCCATAATAGGGAACCTTGCAATGATCTTTTTAGAGTCAATGCAGACAATCAATACAAATACAAAGGCTTCTTTCATACCTGACAGTAACTGTCTAAATGACATGTGATCAAGACCACGATGGCCGGGGAGGTGGTTCCTCACTACTAAGCTTGGGTCCAGTGAGAGAGGCCTGTTTCAGGCATGTGCTTTGTCATAACACAATATGGTGTTTAACTCAGACCTTATCTTTAATTCAAAATAAGAATTATAAGCTGACTCTAATCAGCAAGCTAAAGAACTGCCCCAGTGACTCACAAAAGGACTCACAGTATAAACATCTAACAATTACAGTTTGTATTCAGAGAATCATAGAACCGAAGAATCATTAAGGTTGAAAAGACCTCTAATATGATTGCAACCATCAACCCACCATCACCATGCCCACTAATCATGTTTCTCTCAGTGCCACATCTACATGTTTCTTGAACATCTCCAGGGATATTATTTCCTCCTCTTCTGTGGGCAGTCTGTTCCAACGCGTTACCACTCTATCAGAGAATAAATTATTCCTAAAATCCAACCTGAACCTCCCCTGGTGCAACTTGAGGCCATTACCTCTCATTTAGGAAGAAAACACTGATGGATCTGCATTTTCATTCCATCTCAGGAGTGTTCAGTCTCTATTAATAGAATTCATGATGTGTTAATTTCACCTTCATCAACACTGTTTTATACACCTATAGTTTATTCTATGTCCATAATACTAAAGATGTTTCTAACTCACCTTTTCTTAAAATTCATTCAGGTCATTCAGATGTGGTAACTTTTTAATTTGAGCAGATTTGCTTACTATCTTTTACTGTTGAAAATGTATGTCAAGGGTCTTTCTTCAGATCCAAAATGGCAAAAAAAAAAAAAAAAAAACAAACAAAAACAAAAATGTAAAGTGGAAAAGAAATTGAAACTTGAGTGGAACCTCATAAATCTAGTTAACAACAATTTGGGTTAAACACAAGCTATAAGACATTAATGCAGACAAGCTTATTAGTGCATAAATACTAGAAGTGGTTAGCAGTGATAGAAGTGAAAGCTTGAACCTCTTAACTTTTATTTCTCTGAGCTATCAGATATAGTATAACTGTTTTCAAGTCCCCAGGTGGGTTAAATATGGGTGATGACAAAATAAAACAATTGAACAAGAGCAGTTTTGTTTTTAGTTAGGTTTTCCAAATCTTAATCATGGGGGTTTTTGTTTTGTAAAACCAGAAACAAGAATTTAATCCTGTCTCACTGAAATTAATGAGAGTTCTACCATTGATGTCAGTGGACATGTGTTTTGGTACTAGGGACCTAGTATCCTTGGTGGGCTCCGAAGACTTGTGGGTGCTGTTAAGTGAGAATTCAGTGAAGTAATCTCCATCTGGGACATGGATCCTTGCACCTATCTCTGGACAGTCAGAACAATCACTGAAAGAGGGGAAGCTCCAGTTTATCAGGCCAGATTTTTGTCATCTATGCTCAGTATGTCGATATGGGCAAAAGGCAAGATTCTTGAAAAATCAGATTTCTGTTCTTACTATTGCTATCAGCTGAGCCAGATATAACATGAGAGTGTAAGAACTGTGCATAGAGATCAAAGTTTTCCCTAGTCCAGGCTCAGTAGAAAATAGAGGGAGACATTAAGAAATAAGGCTTAGTGATACACAATAATGTAACATCTGGTAATTGCACTAAGGACTTCCTATGCCTTCCAGACCTCCACATGATAACCATGGATTTTGTGAAAAAGCATTTTCTTTTCATTTTTTCCTGTAGAACTGTTGTCAGATGATTTCTTTGGGTGTCCCCATCATTTTAGATGTAAAAAGCAGTGAATAATCATGCTCTTCGCATCTTCTCCATAGCATTTATGGTGCTGTGGACTTACATTATATTGCCCCTCTGACAGAGCTGAACGTCCTTTCATAGTTTGTGTGTTCTAGTTATTGACCTGCCCGTGAAAGGAAACCATTCTATAATAATCTTTGCAGATCTTTTCTGTTCCTTTTGCTGCACACCCTTTTTCAGATGGCACTTGCAGCGAGCATTAAAGGTGTGGGCATACCAAGGATTGAGACAGAGCACAATGCTGTTTCCTGTTTTGCTCTCTTTTTCTTTTCTAATAATTGGTGTGTTCCACGTGTCCTTTCAGAGCGCCCACAAGAGCGCAGAGGACTGAGCTGGTGGTAGCGGCACACCCACATGTGGGCCTGCTGCGGCGGCAAGGGCCAGCCTGCTCATACCCATCTGACGTGTACACCTTCAGTGTCATCTGTGCTTTTCAGAGGGAGCATGGGGGTGATAACAGAAATGTCGAAGCTGCAGGGCTGTGAAGATCTAGAAATATGTAATATTAAAATAATAAAGTTCCTAAATAGTGCATTTATGAAAAAATGTAGGGCCATAAGATACATAAAAGGAGAAAAAAAGAAAAATAAATGGATGTGGATGATTGGTTAGCAGTTTGACAACCTCAGACGGAATCTAGCAAATGGGGACCAGAAGCAGTCAGCAGCTGTGTTTGCCTCTGCGAAGTATAGTGTGACACCGGTTATGCTCAGATTCCCTGCTTTTTCAGGGAATGTTTCTTTCTATCGTGATCTTAGAATATTTTATAAATACATCTACAGAAAATGATGGTTGTGGAAACCAAATGAAACTTTCAGATGTATTTTTTACTGTGTGTGTTTCTGTAAAGCAGATGATGGGAAATCTGAAGTGCTTTGCTTTTGCCAAGAGACCAGCTCTGTTAGTTGAAATCATCTGTGAGGATCCACACTTTTCAGAAAACATTGAATATTCAGGGCTTAATACCGAGAGTTGAACAAATGTCTTCCCTGTGACTGTGAGCTGGATAAAGTTACAAATTGCATTCAGTGATACATTGCAATCACTATGGATTGAAATCATCATCCATGATTCCATGCAATTCATTAGCAATGTAACTCTATGCCAAGACAAACCAGATGTCTGGTTTAGGTTGTTGTAAACAGGGTCTGCAAACCATCCTGTGGACATGGGAGGCTCATGTGAAGAGGGAAAATTGGCAGCCCAGTGGTGGATCTGGCACCGTGGAGATAAGAAGCATCTTTGAGTGTTTGCTAGTGTGAAGAGAAACACATGGAAGGACATACAGAGTCTCTCTTGTGCCTTGGCTTCTCTATCTGGACAGTACATCTGGGGAGCTGACATTCTCCTGTGCATGCATGCAGGGTGCATGATTTGAGGATCAGACAATTTTTTGTCTTTCTGTAATTCTCCGGTGCTATACCAGGTTTCTGATATTTTTCTTGAGAACTTAATTCTTGGTGATGGAACGTTAGGAAAAAATGAAAATTAAGCCCATTGTCTAACTTAGGAAGAATCAAAAGCGGTTTATGTCTTGGCAAGTGAAAGAAGAGACTGGTCAAAATAATTGACAGAACATGGAGAAATTTTATTAGTCTTAAGATGCATCATGCATGGTGGGAAAAATGAGATAGGGCTCTGCAGGGTTCAGCAAATGCATTATGGAAAAATTTGGCTTATGCATACTCTCATCATAAAGTTCAATGGACTGCTGAACAGCATGAACTGTATGATCCCAGGGCCTGGGACAGTGGTTTATGGCACAAGCTCACTCACCTCATTGTCCTGATGATTAATTTCGCTAAGATTTGACTGCTGCAGGAGCACGTTCAGAAGCCTGTGGAAGCAATGACAAGCAAATAATCAGTGTACAGAACTGCTGAATAAACCCGAAATTTTGACATCATTTGGGAAAGAAGACGTGCAATTTCAAGACAAAGCAGTCTTAGTGATGGGCACAGGTCAGAGTCTTAGGTCTGGGCTAGAAAAGCAGTTAAGACTTTATAGCATACTGTAACAACTGAAGTTTTGTTCTGGGAATCAAAAGCAGATCCACTAGGAAGTATTCTTATGTCAATTCTCAGGGTGAATCAGAGTATATTATACTAAATGTGTGCAATTTTTTTTAGACATTCATCCTCATTCTGTTTCATAAAGTTTTAAACAAACAGAAATGTTAATGTTTACAAAAATGTTTGTAGTGCTCCTTAACTGTCAGAGTAATGCAATATTGTGTATGTGCTGGCGTGTTTGTCTGTATACATGCATACAAACTGTAACAGTTACACATGTACTAACCAATTGCATTTGCCAAGGTTTTACAGTATTTTTGCTGGGATAGAGCCACTGTCGTGGTATAAAATAAGCAGTGCACTAGTTTGCTTTTGTTATGGGATATCAGACTACAAACACTCCCCTCTGGTGGAGGGATCAGCTACGATAAAATAGTCACTGAAATATTAAATGCAGTGGTATTTTTAATACTGCAAAGGCTTTGCTTTTCCTTATAGCCTCCTATGAAGATATTCTGAAATCACTATAGCTTTAGAGAATGGTTATGGTTGTAAAACATGGTTATGTTTCATACTGGAAGAAAAATTGTTTCGAGTAGATGAGTAGATGAGTAGACCACGGAAATGACATAGTCTGTAACAAAGCCAAATCACATGGATGCTGTGGTAGATGTACTGTTCTTCTGATCTTAACAAAAGGAAAGTGAATCCTTAAATAAGATCATAATGCAAAAATGTGGCTCATCTGAAGGTGCAGATTTGTAATAAACCTGCAAAACAGACTTTAAAAAACTTTTTATTATTATGTATATATAATAATATATACTTTATAATATAATATAAATTTATATATAATATATATTTATAATAATAATATATATATATATTTTGCAAGGATGTTAATAGAAAATTAAGTGCCACCTTGAAGTGGGAATTCTGATAAATGAACAGATAATGCACAGATGAATGTATGCAATCATGCATTGATTCTCAGACCTAGGATACTAAATAAAAATCTTTTGTTTTTTTTTTGTTAAAATCATCAGGGCAAACTTCCAGTACATTTTTGATATTGAACTGTGTTCGTCAAATCTTGGAGTGTTGCATGAGAAATTATTTTTTTCTTTTCTCAGAAATAAACAAGTAGATATTATTCAAAAGAATTTACTGTTGCTTAGGGATGATTTGTCTGTTCTGCTGAGGAGAAATCTTAACTGTTTGTCAACTGTTTGTCCTTCAGCGGACAGGAAATCCAACTTTATTTTTTTTCTAACTGGCATATCTCTAAACGGTGAAGACTGTGTAGATCCCAGCACTTTATCAGGGCATCAAGTTCATTTACATATGAATACATTCACTTGTAGTAAATGGGTGCTACACCTCCTTTTCTTAATCACACGATGAATGAATGGTATTGTGGTGTCAAAGAATGGAAACTGAAGAGAAAGAATTTTTATAATTGTTGAGATTAATTTGAAAAAAGCAAAGTGGTAGAACAGATTTTATAGTCAATTGGGTCAATAAACTCCAACCAGAATCTAAGAAATCCACTATTTGAAAACAAGTCGTAGTAAATGAGGGCTACTGAGCAAAGATAACATGAGATTACTGTAGTGTACTTGTAAAACCCCTTTATCACAGTTTTGTGATCAATAAGTTACACATTTCTGTAGTTTAACCTCAGAAATCTTCAGGGAAACCATTGTAGAGAAGGACACATCACTCTTTGACTGTAAAGCATCTGTCAACAACTCTTGGCTCCCTTATATTCTCTATGTATAGATATTTGGCCACCCTGATTGAGATTTCTCTGTTATCTGTTCTAAAAGCTAGAGAGCAGTAAGTTCATGGAATCCCTTTCCACCTTTTCTCGAATGTAGGATGTGTATTGATGCAAATGAATCCATTATCACATTAAGATGTAGAATCATAGAATCACAAGGCTGGAAGGGACTTACAAGGTCACCTAGTCCAAACTAGCTGATCACAGTCTCTGGCATTCTATGTGGTTCGTGCACTGGAAACACAGTTTAGCAGAGCATTCCCAGATTTTAAAGTTTAGCTGAAAAAGCATTTCCTAACACACCACTACATGTGCCTTTTTGGTAATGACACAGCATTCAGGAGAATGGCAATGGCCAGGATGGAAAAGCTTGGCATGGGTAACCCCAGATGGCAAATGGTGTAAAATAATTGAACTGATGACAAATTCCTATTTAGAGTAAAAGTCTTTCCGTGTCCATGAAGAGTATAGAAAATGTTCAGGGAGTGCTGTGTGTACTGCTAAACTATAGTTGCACCCTTTTGAGTAGCAGCATGGCAGAAATGTACAAATGCAGTTTTCAGTTGGAATATGATAATGCACTCATACTATCGCAGAGGCTTCGAATTATTTCCTCAAAGTAACGCAGGAAAAACAGTGATGAATGTAGAAAATGAAAAAAGCTGTCAAAAAGACTGTGAAGTAAGATCAGCAGAAGTGCAGAGAGCTCTGATGTAATATGGTTACAACAAAATCATAGTCTCCATGATTAAGTCGCAATGATATTTTATATCTGCTAAATGTTTTACCTGTCTCCAATGTCCCCAGACATGACTTACGTAGGAAACATGTTTAAACGAATTTATTCAAATGTACAAATCAAGACTCAAAAAGCCTTTCCTATCATCACGGATGAAAATGAGACAAAGAATTTTTCTTACAACTTTTGATCTACGCATGCTTTAGTTATTACATCACCATCAGTAAGAGTAGTTAAAAATCACAGAATCATATAATCATAGAATGTTTTGGGTTTAAGGGACCTTTAAGATCACCTAGATCTTAAGGACACCTGCCACTAGACCAGGTTGCTCAAAGCCCCATCCAGACTGGCCATGAATGCTTCCAAGAGGGGGCACGCACAACCCTAACAGTAAAGAATTTTTTCCTAATATTTAGTCTAAATCTGCCCTCTTCCAGTTTAAAATCAAGATAGGCCACCAAATACCTGCTTCCCCTTTACAGGGGCTCAGAGAAATTGTCGTGTGGAAAATTTTTCACACATATGCCATACTGCTTGGAGGAGACATCCAGAAATGAAGCTTCTTGTAAAATTTCTCTTGGAAGGTAGACAAGGGCTGAGGGAAACCTAGAGTTTCAACTTCTTTTATATATATATCTTTTTCTTGCTTTTGTGGCTTTGTATTGGTCTTCTCATTTTTCTTGGCTGTATCTGTTATAGAAGTGTTGTGCAATGCTTTTTCTTCTTTCTATCCTCTGCTCTTTATGATAACCATTAAATGGAAGGGCAAATAACAAGTGTAACTGTCAAGGCTAACCTTGTGACTTAGTCTCTCCTTTGAACTGTGAAACTGAATTGAGGACTACCTGCTGAGATTCAATCAGGAAAAGCTGCGGGATCCTCAGACATACCTCACGTCGGGCTCTGCAGTAGCAGCGTGTAGTGGCAGCCTCCCGTTTTTATCAGGTATGTTTTGCTTAGCACCATTTCTGAGCAGGCTGACACAGCCTTCCAACCAGCCCTAAAAAAGAAATTGTATTATGTCAAAGGGGAAAGTAAAATACATCAGGCCAGGTCTTTGCTCGGTGGTTCTTGCTTTAGCATGTCACTGGCTGTTTCAGCCAGCTGAGGAAATGGTCCTTGGTTTCTCCAAGATTGGTCTCAGCACTGAGAATATTTTCCTCTGGAGTCTGTCTTAGATTAATTCATCCATTAAAACAAAGTTTTATTTACACCACCTTCTTTTTTTCTGCATCTATGGCAAGTACTGAATGTGTAAACAGTCATTAAAAACCTTCTGATTCCTGTAAACCTAACAAATGCTACACATATTCCTGCGTGTGAATTTAAGTATACCAAGTTAAACCAAGAAGTGAACACTTAATCTAATTTCTTTTATGGTATATTAGCAGGGATATCAAATCAATACTAATACGCCTTAGAGTGTAGTCTTCTAAGCATTGTTGCAGAAGTTTGAATCACTGACAATGTTTGACTGAAAACAGCACCAAAACAGATGGGATGAATCAGTTCTTGGATTAAAACCTTGTATTGATCACCTCAACAAAACAACAAATAAACAAGCTGATTGTGATTGCATAAATCTTTCGGTTCCAGGAAATGTTCCAGGAAAAATGAGTGTGTGTTTAAGTATTTTCTTCGAACCTCTGCAAGCAATCAATAAAGACCATTTCATCCAGTATGATCTATGTTGGATCAGCATTACCAGCATTTATAGAGAAAAAGAACAATGGAATCAGAACATATCTGTTGTGGTTCTTGGTGGAAGTATGACACTACCAAATTCTGCATGGGATTGTGAGCACAGAGCTCTGTTCAATTCGGTTCTCTGGACAGACATCACAGCCAAATGCTCTCAAGACCTCTGATTATATCCATCACAGAAAAAGAAATGGAAACTTTGAAGCCTGGGTGGCTTAAATCCTTTCCAGTCATTTCTTTTTCTTCCCAAAGAATATTTTTCCCCTGTGGGAAAAGAGGGAGGAAAAAAGGAGCATGATACTAATTATGGGATTTTTTTTTAAGTATCTGGCAGAGGAAATGTTTGTGCTGAAGTAAGTGGGACATGCTCCTTGCACTGAATGAAATGGTCTGTTTTGCTACTTTCTACACATATTTTCTGGCTAAACATCTAACAGCTGAGGAGAAGCACCATTTTCATACTGAATTTGCAGGAAGAAATTAGATGCAAGGGATATGATTTAATTAAGCTGCCACTATTTCTGCTCAAAAGTACTGGCATTTATCCAGTCTGTGGTCAACCCCTCTGACCAGCTAACACGGTCCCCTCTCCATGCATGCTGAATTCCTTCCAGTGTGGAACAGAAGACCAGGGAGAAGAGGACAATAACTGTGTGCTTCAGATGGAAAGCACCAGAGCACACATCTACCTTCCCCAACTTCTTCGTGGGATGTCTTCCTCTACTGTTGCTTGTAAGTGGGTTAATTGGGAGATTGGATCACTCAAGATTTGCACTGACACCTGAAGCACCTTGCACCTGGCCATTCCAGGTCCAGCTCTATAGTGGAGAGAAAAGCAGTGCTCAGGTGTGCAGGTAAACCTGCCAGCTGACAACCAGAGTTGAGACAGAAATGCGCTCCCTGCTGAACAGTGAAAATCTGATACTGAGAGGGAGAAGGGAGAAGTTAATCTGCCTATAAAGAAAGGAGGGAACTTCAAGCTCTTTTCCAGCGCACAGGAAACCACTGGCTTTTCTGAAACCATGAAGAGGACCATGGACATTGTGAGATTCCCACGCCACATGTTGATTTTGCAACCGAAAGATGAAGGACACTCTGAAAGCAGTTCTGATTCTTTTCTCAGAATCTTACAGAGCTTGCAGCTTTGCACTATAGTAAACTTTACATTTTCACTGCTATCTAGAAACAAATCATAGAATCGTGGAATCACCAACGTTGGAAAAGATCTCTAAGATCATCCAGCCCAACCATCCACACATCACCAATATTTCCCACTAAAATATTTAGTCCTTTTTTTGATTTCTATATACAAATGGAAATCTTATTTGCTCAACCCGTTTCTTCCTCCACCCCCCAGTCCTGATACCAGATAAGTTGCCAGAGATAAACTGGTACGTCCACATGCATCTTGTGTGTTAATATTGGCTCCCATCTTCAGTAAAAGCTTCACTGTATCGACCTGGCGCCCTGACACAGCATGCATCAGAGGTGTGCAACCTGGGGAAGAAAGTCAAATCACACAGAATGACAGAATTGCAGGGGTTGGCTATTCTTTTACAATTTTTATTTAGTCAAAGCCATAAGATAGAGACATTTTCTTATTTGCTGAGGTTAGCGCTGGCAAACTAACAAGCCTTTTCTCTCACGACTGTCCAACAGCTGTACTCAGCTTTTTGCGGGCAGGCGGTAACTCGGCAGATTACCACTGATTACAAGAAATAGCACAGCGAAAACACTGCCTCATTAACTCTGCATCTGGAGAGAATATTCGTTTTCTACTCTCAGGATTCCTGCATGAACTATTGGTTTCAGACACTGAAAGCTGATATCCTTCAAAATGAATAGTCACCAGGTCACGCTTGGCTAATTTTCTCAAACCCAGTTTCATCCTGTGTTCCTGTGTTCAAAAAATATATGAAATCAAACCCTGTTTCATGCAAAGATGTGTGTGTGTCCGATGATTTTTAACAACTTAATTTAATGAGTGGATTTGCCTTGGGATAGTTTTCTCTTGGTGAGAACTTATTTTATATTCAGCAAACCACTTCTGTGCTGGAAAAAGACTGAAATCCACCTTCAGACTTATTATGCAGATTTTCTTAATGTTCAGTGTTATGATATTACTTAACTGCTTTCCCTTCCTTCCATTCTTTTAACTGCTGAATAACAACAAAGATTTTCCTGCAGAATCTGACAGAGCAATTTAAAATTACTAAGCTGGGAATAAACCTGAATGTTAGAAACCATAATATGCAACCAGGCACAAGTGAAGAATAATGATCCTTTCTGAATTCACTGAGATTGCTGAGCAAGTATACACTACTCAAAGTTATGTCATATCTGCAGGATATGGACACATGTTTTGTCTTGCAAGATTGATCTTAGTTACATTTGCTCATACAAACCAGAAATCAAGATTATTCTGAATCTGCAATGCTCCTCTTTGCTGATCAGTCTGCCTCCATTCATTGCCCTTCATATTGGCAAGGATTGGAATATACAGGGTTAATCTCAACCCTTTGAAAGAAGTTGCAATAAAATTTTTTTGAATAAACAAAGACTTCCTTGTGAGAAGCTTCCATAGATCTGTAGCTTTAAATCACATGGGAAATAGATGCATGTAAAAATCAACTCAGGAGAGTGCTTTGTAGGAACATTACATAGTAAACCGAGCAAAAAGGAAAAGGAGTGCAGTCTCACGGGTTATTTAGATCATCGCACATTGCATGGTTTGCCTATGGACAAAGAACCACAAAGCAAAATATTGTATTTTTTGGTGCGTGTCTGTACACATGCTATTGAAGTGCAAATTACTGGAACCCTCTGCTCTAAGGATGTGTGGAATGTATGGCATTTGGCTTTGATAAAAACTCTGTAATGACAGAAATTTTTCAGCATCTTCTTAAAGGAGATAAAATAGCTTCTTGTTAATGTTCTGATTATATCAAAACAGCTTATTTCTATCCGATCGTGCAAACTCAGTATGAAAGAGTATCTGGATTATGCATTTCTAGGGGATGTTCCAAAGAATAACACAAGTTTCTCATATCCTGCTTCTAAATATAATTTTCCAAGCACGAGAATCAGGACTTAAAATGGAAAATTTAATGGCGATCCAAAGCAGGGATTCTCCTGAGAAAAAGCTCAGCCTTGTTTACCCTCACTGTCGCAGCACTCCAGGATGGAGGGATCTTCTCGAATGACTGCAGTCAGTGTGTTCACATCACCGTTAGCTGCCGCCTGGTAAACCACAGTCAAGTCAGTCTCTTCTGCTGCATCACCTACAGGGAGGAGTGTGCCCATGAGTAAGCTGGGAGCAAGTACAAATGATTAACAGTGAAAATAACAACACATTTCACTGGATTTGTATGACTTGAGATGGAACAAAGTGTATCCAAAGAGCACTGTGGCTTTTATTAGTCATTTCAAACTTCATCATTTGCTTCCTCCAAAAACTGTTGGATGTAAATTTTGAAATGGCATAACAAAACCTCTTTGAAGTTTCCACTTCTCATGAGAAATCAAAAGAATATTAATGGAACATAACTTGAGAAACAGTGAAGTAAGGACTGAACTGGCTCATCTTGTGCTTGACTGCTCTTCCATGAGAGAGTTTGGTATTGAAATACAGGTATTCTCAGCTCCTGCGCTTTCCTTGCACCCCTATAAAGATGGAGGATTTATCCCTCTCTCTGAGGTGTTTGGGGAATGCTCTCTGCATGGGAGTGCACCTCCAGCAGCTCTGTTTTGTGTTAACAGTGCCTGTGCAATGGAAAGTTAACTATTCTTGGAACCCGTGACTAAGGTATATTTCTTGTACAGTAAAGAGTACATTTCTGTTTGCTCTGCAACTTTACTTGCATGGATAGAGGGAAACTAAATAACATAAAACTCTGTAAGAGTTCATCCCCATTAACCTTGCATTAATTATTTACACTAACTATAATAGCTAATTCTAGCTACTATAATAACTGGCTATGAACTTCAAACACAAAAATGTTCCATTTCAGTTTTGGTTTCAAATGTTTTCCTGTGTTTCCAAATAATGATGTTGGACTCTGATTTCACAGGCTGGCACTGTCAGGCTGGGGGACATTTCTCAGCCTGTCCCTGGACCTCAGTCAACCCCGAGCTCATCTCTCTGAGTGCTGTGTCCAACAAGGACAGCCACAGTCCTGCCACAGAACCAGTCAAGGGCTGGCTAAAGAATGCATTCAAATGCATTTTTCATAGAAAGTATCAATACTCAACAATGTGACTGTCATTAACGGGTTGGAAGGGCATAGTTCTGCACATTTTCTACTAGTGATGGCTGGTGGACAGCTGCAGCTAATAAAAAAAGCCCCAAGCTCCATATTCTGAATAATATCTCTTAGACAAAGTGCTATAAAACTGTCTTACTCCTCAGCTTCTAAGTTTTCAGAGCAAACATAGAACAAAAAGCAGAGCTGCTTGAAATTACAAAGGCCGTGCCAAAAGGAGACATGTCCTGTTTAAAATGAGGAGTGATGCAAAGCCACATGCAGTCTTCCAATGCCCTCAGTGAATCTGTGCCTGTGTGACATTTTCTCAGTCCCCTGCACTTGCATAGGAGTACAGCTACCTGCATGAGAGAAGAATGAAATGGCAGAAAGGCACAGTTCCATGACAGAATATATAAATGTATGTGCATGAAAATGTCATTGGTATTTCATTGTGAACTGATATTAAATAAAAGGGTTTCTATTTTCAGACATAGGCATTGACCATGTGTTAATATGTATTTAAGCATCTATCCAAATATAATATTCACAAACATGAAGATAGCTGTTATGAGGTAAATTTTCAGAGAAGGCAAGAGAAGGAAAATCTCTAACCTGGTTGTGAGGCAGACCGTGGGAAAGAGCTGAGGAAAGCTGAATTCAAGCAAAATCAGTTTCAGAGGCAACTAAAAGCATCCCTCACTTAGATGGTTAATTTACGGAGAAATGATGTTTCGGCCTGTTGTAGAGTCTTTCCTAGGCACTCAGGAATCAATGGCAATCAATGACAATCCATGACAATCAATGACACAAGTTCTAATTTTTCTTGTTAGAGTAGGTTACTAACTTATGTTTTAATGTTTATTTCTTGCTTTTTTTTTTTTGTTTGTTTTTTTTTTTTACATTTTAGAATTTGGAAACATTTATTGCAAGTCAAAATGATTAGCTGCCAACTTTTAGTCATACTCTCTTGGTTGGGATTGGGATTCTGTGCTTTTAAACTCTGAGAGCTGTGCAAGTATGAGCAATGTGGAGCAGCATGTTGCCTTCATTATCTTGTAGAGATCCCCGAGTTCAAACTGCACTATTCTTATGACCTTCCACCCAGTGAATTTAATAAAAAAATAATTATTTTATATGGCTTTCTCAATGGAAGGGCAAACTTCACAAGCCTATCTTAGTCCTGGATTCCAACCAACCTTTCCTCTCTACAGGTAATGTTAACACAACAGATTTTTGTTTCCAGAGGAGTGAGTGAGATGACTTGTGGTAGCAAACTCTTTTGATCGTAACTTCCTTCTGGGCTACACATCCCATGCTCCACATGCCTTTTGGCTTCAGGTGGGCTTTCAGACTCCTAAATCCAGCAGTCAAACGAGTTCATTTTTTTTTGTTTAAATCTGCTGTTATGATAAAATGCTCTAGTGTGCACTGTTGGTCAGCTACAATCTCATCTTTAATTTTGAAAAGAGAAGTTTCTTATCCCTGCTGACTCAAAGAGAAGTACATCTGCAGTGAGCTGTACCATTCACCATGGCCACGGGCCAGTGCTAAAAAGCAGAACTGTTGCCCTGCTGCTGTGCTGCTGTGTTAGCAGAAGTAAAGCTGGTTTCTAAATAACGCCATAGAGTCAAACAAAGGAAAGACAGGTTAAAGACTTTTCCTCATGCTTGTGTTTTCTGGAAATAAGAATTTGTGAACTGTTCAGAAAAAAAAAGAAAAAGATAAAAAGTAGATGTTTTAAAGAGAATTTAAAAAGAGTCAATAAAAAAGTCTCTTTCATAATCAGCGTTAATATTAGCACATTAACATAAATTATATTAGTTTTTTTTTTGTATCTTTTTGAGTGGTAAAAGATCCTTAAAGTTGATTTTAAAATATTTGCCATTCTATTCATACATGGAAAGGGAACCTGGTTTAACTCCACACTGGGCTTTTTGTTGTCACCCACAGGTGGCCTTCTCTGCCTGCAACAAAATCATTACCCTCTGCTGTAAAACTTGGCTGCCATGGAAAAAATGCAATCAGCTTCTACCCTGGGAAAGGCTGGTTTGTCAGATTTGGAGCCCTGGATTGGGGCTTGGGAAAACTGGAGATCTGATAATAAATCTGCCTTCAGTGGTGCTCAGATTCCTATTTCCTCTCCACTCCACTTACGCAGATTTCCTTTTTCCTCTCCTGACTCGTCTTTCAACTTACACCTTTGATACAATTCTTGATTTCTACTCTGCTGGAGATTCTGCCATTTGTAGAACTAGACATTTCTCTCAGGAACTCTGACCCGTGAGCTGCTGAGACAGATCCAAAACAAAAAGCGTGTTGCGCAGTGCGCTAGATGGAAAGCAAGGAACAAGGCAGAGGATCATCACAGGTGTTGTTCCTGTTGGCCACCTTTCAGGGTTATGCAGGAGGTGCCATGAGCACTGGCACACTGCCTCTGACAGCTGCATCTGGTGGCTGATGTATGGGAGAGGTATGGAGAAGCTGGTGTGGGGGAAGAAATCAGGTACAGACTGTGTAACAGAGTGGCTGTCACCTCTGATTCACGTACATTTAAAATTTTTGCTGTTTAGAATCATTGAATCATTAAAGCTGGAAAAGATCTCTGGGATTATCAAGTCAATGCATCCCCACCATGCCCACTAGCCATGTCCCTCAGCGCCACTTTAATGTGTTTCTTGAGCACATTGTATGTTCTGTTTTCCTGCTGTGAGTCAGGAGCAGAGTAATCCAGTAAGAAGAGGAAATTCTTCATCTCCTGAGCAGAACAGTTGCTTACCTGAAGGGCAAACTGGTAGAAAGATGAAGGCATGGAAACAAATCAGAATCTGGGACAGATTCCCTCTGCCCTTTTAGATTCAAGTGCCTTATCCCCTGTGCCTTTGCTTTCCTCTGAGCAATTGTCCTCCCATGCAGAGAGATGGTGCAAAGCTGAATGAATGACGGATGACTGAATGAACAGTCTGCACCTGCTCTAGCAGAGCATGAACTCCAGTTCTGCTCGGGAACAGTGGCATGAAGCCAAGATTAGGTTTTGCCCTTCCTCACCAGAAGACCTAGCTGTCAGAGCAGTGAGGTGCATGGGACATGCTGTTCCCTTGGTGACAGGGGACACTGGGCCAGCAGAAACTAAAGAGAACTGTGTGGTGCATCTGGAATAAGAATGGGCAGACACTAATTCCAGTTCTGGAGCATGACCGAGGATGGGGATGGAGTTTCCCTAACACAACCTATGTGGCTTTGGTGGGGAGAGGAGCGGAAATGGTTATGTGGTATTCTGATGCTTCATATGGCAGGGACTAGGGAATTCCAAGAGCTCCTGGGTGTCATTCACCAGGCTGCACCAGGCTGCAAGTGATGTAGTCTCCTGTTCCATCCTCCTTTAGCTTAACCCTCCCAGGAGTGAGGGCACCTGTCCTCCATTTGCAAACGTGTTAGCTATACTTCTGTGGTTTTGCTGTCCTATAAATGCAAAGGAGCGCTTAAACTGTCTTATATATGTGATATTTTGAAAAATATTGTGCCATTCCTGAAAGTGATCTTCAGGAAGTCCATCTCACAGCCTGTGTGTGGAGCAAGGGTAGGGAAAAACAGCTGTGAAGCTTTCTTTCATAGCTAAAATTCTCAGTAAGAATCACAGCTAAAAGCCAACCTACTTGAAATGAGCTGCAATATTTTAAAAATGTGTCATTTGTCCCAAGTACAATAAAAGCCTTTTGGTCTGAAAGGAAGTGCATAAAGAAACATACAGAAAGATCACAGGATTCACAGCAATGAAAGTATACTCAATTAACACTCCTCTGACTTTCATGTGACAAGATTGTGCTTTACGCAATTCGTGATGTCGGCTGAACTGTTATTTTACAAAGTGGCTATTAGGTGTTCGTAAGTGCCTGCTTTCTACTGCACTGGATTTGTGAGATCCAAATAATGTCACTGCATGTTAGCTGACTGTACACAGACTTGGCAATGATGGATTCAGACCCTGATAAAATTAATGGGCTTTTAGAGCTGAAAGCTGGATGACAGGATAATTTATGTTCACCAGCAAGAAGAAATATTTATACATACAATTTTCTGCCCTCTTTCAGTAAGCAAACATACTGTATTCCCACCCTGCACCCAGTAGCCAAGTGCCATATATCATTTCCCACTGCTTATCAGCAGATGCTGACAATTGTGTGATTTCACCAAGAAGACGCTGCTTACTTTCACCAAAGCACAATGAATCCCGGACAGCAACTGAAATGAGACAATGCAGTCTCACTTTGCTGCAATTTACCATTACAAACAAAGGTCTGCATCCACTGAGCATCCTCTTATCCCCATTCTCTGATGTTTTAAATAATACAGCCACTCTGGCTGTACTGGGGTAACCGATGTCAGCATTGGTGGGCCCCTCCTGGGCTTGGCACGTGGGTGGATGAGTGCAGATGTTGGAAAACATAACTCAGTCTATAATATTAAAGATTCATTGATTGTTCAACAAAGTAATATAATCCCTGTGTGTATCTGGCTGTGAATGTGGCCATCCAGACCTTTTCCTGATTCCTTTGTTTAATTGTTAAATATCTCAAGCCAGGTACAGCACCTGAATGGCACCAAGCAGTACTGAGAGAAGAGGAAAGGCTTAGCTTCTGGAAGTCTCGCTCTGCTACCACTATTGCTGTTCATAAATAATATAAGCTACAGATGAGGGATATCAAAAGAATTGTTGCAGAGAGAGTGTGATTTTTTTTTCTTCACCTATTATGGGAGGAATTTTCTGATGACTGGGATTGAGATGGGATTGTAGGGGAAGATATCAGACTGATGTATGTTGATCGGTGCGTTTAATACATGGTCTGCATTCTGTCATTCTCAGAAATCACTCCAAAGAGTAACAGTGCTTCTTCTACTTGCAAAAAGCTCTTCATTAAATTGGTAATATGTCAAGGCCCTCGATGTTATTTAGCGAAATTCACCATATGCTTTGAATAGAGCTGTCTTTGCGACTGGGTTCAGTGTCCCTTAAGTGCTGCTTCTGCTCGCCCGCGCCCCGCGGCAGCCTGCGGGAGGGCGGACAGCGAGGCAGTTCCGTGAGCCGGCAGTCCCGCGGCCGTGTGCTGAGGGGCAGCGCCGGAGGGCGCCGTTTGCTGGGAAGATGCTGCACGAGCAGAGGAAGGTGGGGCTGGGAGATGGTGCTGTAAGGGAATAGTGATAGGATCAGCGTGGAAAATGTCCCAGCGAGAGGACAGCGGCAGAGCAGGAGTCGGGAGGATACTGGTAGGTGTTGCCTCCCCGTTCTCTAATTGTATCCGGATAAGGCGGTTTGGATCAGCGGTCTCCTTCACTGCTCTCTGCTCCCAGCCCTGTCTGCTCCTTCTCCGACCCTGCTTACACTCCATCCTCCTTGCTGGCACCAAGCTCCCAGTCCAGCAGCCAGCCCCGCAGTTCCAGAAGCGCAGGGTGTCCCCGTGCCCTCGCTGCGCTCAGAGCAGCACACAGCGCTGCGGCAGCTGCAGGGCAGCTCCAGAATGGCTGTTGGAGCTGCTGAACATCGGACAGACCACCACCTCTGTACTTCTGGAGGAAATGTTCCGCGCGTCATCTGAACATGACCCACGAGGTCCTGTCCCTGTTTGTGTGGCACACAGCCCCTCAGTACCCTTGGTGTGGGGCCGGCATGGCCACATCAGCTGGGGCACTTTGCGAGAGTGTGATGGAAACAGCGGCGGCCGCTGTAAACAGATAATTTTGCAAGCTGACTTCGAGAGAAATTTATTGCAACACAGATGAGCAAACAGTGACTGCTTTCTGCTTTGAGAACATAAGAGGAATACTACTATATTTTTGATAGTGCATTAAACAACAAGAAAGAAAAGCTTGTCTAGGCAAATAAATACACAACGTTCATTCATTTAACTTAAAAACAGACAGAAAACAGGCATTAGTATTTCCATAGCAACCTTATCATGTAGAAAATCTTCACTTCGTGGCATTTAAGGATATCTTAAATTCATAATTATGGCAATACTTACCTGTACGGCTAACATTTACTGAAGCAAAGTCAATCACTCATCACTGCCTAGTCCTCTTAGTGTATACAAACCAGCAGATATAAGAAAATAAGCTATTCTTATTTTTTCTCCATTTTAAATTACTTTGTTTGCTAATGTTTCTGTTGCCATATAAATATGCATGTTCACAAAAGCACAAATATGCAATATAAGCAAAAAATCTGTATGTTCATTTATTGATGTTGATGTAAGAGCAACCAAATGCTTTAGTTTATCTGCTAAAGTATTTTATTTCTGTATGTAAATATAGCAATAGGTTGAAATATCTGTTTCTGACATTGACAGAATGTACCTTCTCTGTAAGCAAAACCAATTTCCATGAGACCTGATCTTTTCCAAAAAATCTTACCATTCATTCTGTCAGGGAATCTTAGTGCATCTGCATGGGAAGCATGGGAGCACCGGAGGTTTTGAAATCAGAAGAAGACACTTACCTTTGTGCTGGTCAAATACAGATGAGGAACTGAAATCCATTGTGGTCTACCTCAATATCTGCAACCGGACTGGGCAAACACCACCTCCGGGGTTGTCGAGGAGGAATCCCATATATTACTATAAACAATGGTAGCTGTTCCCAACCTTCTTGTCAGAGAATTAAACTTGCTTTATGTCTTCAAGTTGTTGTCAGGGCAAGGACATTATCACCAGCCTGATGGGAATAGTATAATCTGTTTGCTGTGCTCTTAAAATGACATCCCTGGAAGCTTAGCTTTTACAGAACACCTCCAGTGAGTGAATTTGTCTGTGAGCATCTCCGAGAGATGCTGCAGCTCGCCCAGCCTCAGCAGCAGAGTGCTGCCTGTAGACAAACAAGCCTCAGAGCGTGAATGGGATTGTGCTGGCGCACAGAGCATGTGCAGAGCTGTGGTGCCGTGCGGGTGCAGCCGTCCTCGTTTTGCCGGCATGTGCTGCGCCCACCTGGCCCTGTTAGTGTGGTGCTGCGGTCACCGTTCCTGGGGTGCTTATCTGCATCATCATTTCAGAGATTACCTATTTGCTGACTTAACTGTGGTGTGCAGAATGTAAATAAGGAAGCTATTGCTATACCTAATTAATATGTAAGTTACAATGAAAGAGTGGTTCTCGAGAACTGTGAGCGCATTACTATGGCTGAAGCGGGTAGTGATGCTCCAACAGAGCAGTGCAACAAATGCAGCAGTTCACAGAGGGTATTCCAAGCCCTCTGCATCCACCAAACTGACAGCAGATTCATGTCTAAAAGCTGCCTTTTTGGCTTGGCCTGTACCTCCCTAAGTTGGGAATTCAGATCGTGTGCTATATAAAGGAGGTTCCCCTGGTGAACTTCATACTAGGATGTTGCCATGGCAGAAATAGTAGTAAGTAGCAATAAATGGGCTGATACTCTGTTTATCTGAAGCAGATATTTGCCCAGAGTAGCAAGTGGGGCTGGCAGCTTGGCGGCGTGTAAATAATTTTGTACTTGTGCAGTGGAATAGACACGCTGCTACTGCTGAGTAAAGCAAGGCAATGCATGAAAATTAAGGAAGGCAAGGCACTTTTTGTCCATGTTTGGTCAGCCTAACAACCCCCTGGATGTTACGTATTCATTATATTCTGCCGAATTGACCAACTCTATTGTCTACAGCAGTTACCAGAAACATAACTTACATGTAGGCACTGTAGGAGTTATATCTGCAGCTGATTCACATCCCAGGTATGTGAGTCTGAACCTAAATCAGAACTGTTTGGAAAAAGATTATATTAAAAGATATATAGCAATACAGCCTTGACAGGTTGAACCAAGCTGAAATTCTCCAAAATGTGACAGTGAGACAGGCTCTGCCTTTTTTGTATTGAAGAGGGATCCATCACCTGGCGAGTGCTGGCCATGCACAGATCTGGGAATGTGGCACAATGCGAATGGTTGGCATCTAGCACAACTTCACCAGAAAGGTGACCTGGTTAGTGGCCCTTCTGCCCCCTGGCTCATGAGTGACACCTGTGGGCTAGTGCCTTGGGCTGCTCAGATAGATGGAGGGAAATGTGGCTGGCGACCTCCAGCTGCAGGTTATCATTGTGCTCTGTAGTTTTCAGAAGGCACCACAGCTGGCTCCTGCTGTTCATGTGTGGCAGAGGCCCTCTGTCATCATGGAATCATAGAATGGCTTCGGTTGGAAGGAACCTCGAAGATCATCAAGATCCAGCCTCTCTGCCACAGCGGAGTTCCCAGCTCCTAGATCAGATTGCTCAGGGCACCATCCAACCTGATCTTAAGCAGGTTCATGGACAGAGCATCCACAGTCTCTCTGGGAAACCTGTTCCAGCACCTTCCCACTCTGAGTGAAAAACTTCCCCCTGACATCTAATCTATACTTCCCCTCCTTAGTTTAAGACCATTCCCTGTTGTCTGATCATTACCTACTCGTGTAAAAAGTTGATTTATCTCATATTTATAAACTCCCTTTCAATACTGGAAGGCACAATGAGGTCTCCCTGCAGCCTTCTGTTTTCCAGGCTGAAAAAGCTGAGTTTCTTCAGATTATCTTCATAGGAGAGGTGCTCCAGACCATAGGTCTTCTTTGTAGCCCTCCTCTGGACCCTCTACAACAACTTCACATCTTTCCTGTGCTGGGGGCCTCAGGCTCCTGTACTCCAGCTGGGCCTCACAAGGGCAGAATAGAGCAGAGGAGGACAATCACCTCCCGCTCCCTGCTGGCCACCTCTCTTCTGATGGAACCAGGGTATCATCGATCTTCTGGGTTGAAAGTGCACACTGATGCCATCGAGTGCAAGGCATTTCCAACTTTGGGCAGAAATCTTCTCTCCCTATACTGACCCTGGTTGTATTTTGAATCCCTGGTTGTATTTTGGAGCTACATCCTCAGTGTTATGGAGCGCACCAAGTACAGATGCATCTGGAGAAGACAGAGAGACAGAAGGACTGGCTTGTGCCCTCTGGAGGGACTGACCCAGGGCTCAGCAAACAGTGACAATCTCTCCCAGTGTGTCAGTAGATAAACAACAACTAGAGCTTGGAGAATGGAACCACAGCTGCATCCTAGATCTTCCCACATGGAATGCAAGACAGAGTATCTGTCCTACTCTCCTTTTTTCATAAACTCAAATAACATCCTTTGCTAAGTCAATGTGAATTTTTGGCTTTGACTATAATGGGATCAGGGTATCTCTTATGGCACAACTGTCTGAGACACCACCAGCATCCTATGAGGGAAATTTAGCAACAAGCCAAACACACCTGAGAGTCTTTTCTGTAGTTATAGAAGAGCTGCAAACTAGTAACTGCTTCTATATGTATTGATTTCTCAAATGATAACATGTGTATTGAACTAAAAAATTTGTAAATTTTGCTCGCAATGGTTGTTGTGCATAATTTAGAAGAAGTCTCCCTGTGAGTTTTTCACCCTCACCATAGCTGTAGCTATCACTCTTTAACCTCCAAAGTCTTCCCTGTGATACTTTCAGGTTTAAAACCACGTTGAATGCCTCTGGCATGGAGTAAGGATGATGGTATGTGTGACTAAGGGGTGTTGTGTTGATGGTCTTATGTGTAGAGGGAAATTTATGCTCAAACATTTGCACTACAACTACTACTGTTTGGTATTCCAATACTGCTTGCTGTACAAGACAACATAAGGGAAAATCATAGAATCATAGAATGGCCTGGGAAAAGGACCACAATGATCTTCCAGTTTCAACCCTCCTGCTATGCAGGGTACCTAAACAATAGATGAGGCTGCCCAGAGCCACATCCAGCCTGGCCTTGAATGCCTCCAGGGATGGGGCATCCACAATCTCCTTGAGCAACCTGTTCCAGTGCTTCACCACCCTCTGTGTAAAAAGCTTCCTCCTAATATCTAACCTAAACCTCCCCCCTCTCAGTTTAAAACCATTCCCCCTTGTCCCATCACTATCCACCCTTGTAAACAGCCGTTCCCTTTCCTGTCTGTCCTAGGTCAGATCAAAAGTTTACTAGTCCAGTAACTGCAGTGGCTAAATAGCACTTGGCTAGCTGTCTGGTGAAATTGCAGGCCAAGCAGTGCATCCAGTGTTCTTCAGTGTGCACTCCAAAGCAGCACTGTAGTTTCACAGAGTCCCAGTAGATGGTGGGATCTGATCAACACTTCATTCTTTGAACCAGAGAAACAGCTCTACACTGAGATACTCACGTTGGGTTTTTTTTTTTTTTTTTTTTTTTTTTTTTTTTTTTTGTAGAATGCTTTTAAACAGAGAAAGAAAAATTCATTTGCAAGAGAACCATAATCTCTGACATTATGCAGCACATTAAGAATGCTTGGAAATGAAACAAGTCTCATTCCAAATATCAAATAACAGTACAAAGCATGACTAATAATCAGTGAATGGTAAACTCTGAGAGCCTCTTTACAAACCTTTGTGATTGTACGTTTTCACTGCTAAGACATGAAAGGCTTAACATGTATTTAACATCTTCAATTCCATAAACCTCTATTTTAAACAGGGAAATTAGTCATTTAGGGGTAAACAGCAAATTATAAGTGGTCTGAGAGCAACATGAACAAATCTGACATGTGTAACTGTGTCTGTAGGGTTGAAGTGCAAAGGAAGAAAACCATGCCTTACAGTGCTGTCCCAGCAGAAGCTGTGGGGCTGCCTCTTTCCCAGTAGATGGGGATGAGCACACTGGGAATCCCATTCTGACTGCAATAAAAGACAGTGAGGTCAGTTCATCTTTCTGATTGTGTTTGGAGCAGCAGTACCCCACAGATGCTTGATCCTTTTCTCAATGCTGTTCACACCATTGTGCCGTTGTGTATGTTCTTTAAGAGTCTCGCTGTCAGTTGCAGAGAGCAGGGATTGTGAGCAGCTTGTCAGTTGTCTGCAAGTTGCAGCAGCAGCCGTGTCTGCTCAGTGCATTCGGGCTCCAGGGATCACTCTGTAGCAGTGCAACAGATACAAGCAGGCCATCTACACAGAGAAGAGGAAACTGCAGTGATCATTTGGTTCTGAGGGAAATGGGTTAGTAAGGAAAGCAGTTCACTCTCTGTTTCTATACACTTTAATATTATGTGAAAGGCAAATATAGAATACCGAGTCCAATTAGCTTTTCCTGTAGAAACAACAGGAATCTCTTTTCTTTCTTTTTCCTTTTTTGGTCATAAGATTATTTTTCCATGTCAATGCCCTGTTCCTCATTAGTATTTACAAAATACCAAATATTAGACAACTAGGCTTCCTCTCCTTTATGTAGTTAGCTATGAAAGTACACGCCTTCTTCTAATCATGTTTGTTTGAATCTTTGCCTTTTAATCCAGAAATCAAAGGACAATAACAAGTTTATATTCCACACAGTGCTCTATCTGTTGATTTCAGTTTCTTGTAACTGCATGCACTTAGGATGGTGAATCCTCCAGTGACACAGCTTTCAGGACTCAGCCAGACATCCCACAACCTGGACGCTGTGTCATGCTTCAGGAAAGCTGGCAGGCATTGCAGGGCAGTAGTCAAGGCATGGCGACAGTCATGACAAATCAGCTTTACACACAGGAAGAGTACAGAGACTGCTGGAAAAAAGCAGTAACGTGACCAAGAAAATTTGCATTTTAAATGGGCCACATTGCGATAACAGTTACCATGAAAAAGCAGCACATTGTAAGCAGAAAAACAATTCCTTCCTCTGCTTATATCTTGTTATTGTTCCCATGCATTTTTTTTTTTTTTTTTTTTCTATTTCTGACCACAGCTGTGATCCTGTACATCTTTTTTGTTGCTGGTCGTTTTCCTACTATGCATAAATTTTGGCATATGTCAGCAAAA